TATAAATAGACCCCATGATTAAGGGATTTTCGGCCAATGCTTCTAAGAGACCCTAAGGGTCGAAAAATCTTCCCTCTCCTAAATTCATCTTGTTGCTTGAGTGTTTGTGACTCCATTAGAGGTGCAACACTTGAGGCACTAAGCTTTCAAGAGTCAAGATCAAGAAGGATTGTGATTGTTATTGCTACATAACAATCAAGGTAATGATTCTAACCCTAATCACATGTCAGTTTCAGATTTGTATGCTAGTCAATTAGGGTTTATTGTTTTGGTATTCAATGTTGTATGTTTACTTAGAAAAACCTAGATCAAAGCAATTAGGGTTGCATGAACACCATAAGATTGATGTTTTGCACATAACCCAACAAGATCTACATAGTCAAAAAGAAAAGAAGGGTATAATTGTCATATCCGATACCCAAGTTAAAGTTCAAGCACTTAATCGAAGAAATCTCAAGAAATTCAAAAAGTTGATTGAAGAACTCAAGCTAAAGACAAAGATTCGAAATTCAAGTTCAATCAAAAAAGCTACAACGAAGACAAATATGGGGCAAGAAGAAATGTGTGATATGATATTGGTCGCTCTCAGAAAAAGTGAAAGCATAGAGTTGGGCTCCTATGGGGGTTGGCCCACTGCTTTGGCGAAAGCTGATTTGGTTGTGCGGATTCTTAAGGATGCGATGATTCTGGTTCTTAATTATCTAGTCTTAAGGACATGAAATTATGAAATGGGTTATTTTCACTTGTAAGGCTAATTAAGGTATAAACTTTAATAAAAGTTACAATTGGTTTATTGGTTCACACCGTCAAGCTTCTTCTTGACATTGGGAATCTGTGAGAAATGGAAGGTATTGTGATGATTGTCTAGGTAGTGATTCCATTGGAGCTTTCGTCAGTGTGAAGTTTAATCATAAAAAAAAGTAAAGTATTTTTATTTTAAGTTTTTAGTTTCCTTTTGTTTATTTCAGTTTTTATTTTAAGTTCTTTTTAAGTCATCTACATCTTTCCATTTTGTTTATAACGTTTAATCTTTTTTATTACTTGAGGACAAGTAATGTTCAAGCTTATGGAGATTTGTTAGATACCGTTTTATGCATCTTTTAAGGTAGTTTTTATTAGCATTTAGCATCATAATTTGTACATTTTCATGTCATTAGTTTTAAATATTGTTCAGCTCATGTCTTTTATCAGAATTCTCGTACTGTTTGCGTTTTTGTGTCATTTTCAGATAATTCGAGTGCAGCGGCACTTTGGGAGCAGTTGGATGTATATTTGGAGCTTAAATGGAATTGGAACTGAAGAAGGATGATAAGGAATGAATTTGAGTGCTTAAACTGAAGAATTATGTCCGAAACGATCCGAAAAGCCATTTCTGCGATCACATTTTTGGTTTATGCGATCGTACAAATGTGTCGAGGTTTTGCAAGGTCGAAAAAAACCATCTAGGAAAAAACATCAATTTATGCGATCGTATATTCACTTCTGTGATCGCATTTTTGTGACGCAGCTCCCGAAACTTCAGAAATAGCATCATACTTCATTTAATTGCAAATCTAGAAAAATTGCCATATATGCGATCGCATATCCTATTTCTGCGATTGCAGATTCTGTTATCTTGGTCCAGAAGCTTCTGTCTTGTGTATATATACGTCCCTCGTGATCATATTCGAATGTTAGACGGTTCCAGACGACGAAAAACACTTCTAAAGGCGATTTTTGATACCTTTCAGCGATTTCTGAAGATCTAAAGGTTGTGAATCATCTCCAACACTTAGTTTATAAGATTAATCAGTTCGTTTTTTTATTAGTTCAGATTCGTTTTTAGCCATGTCTGGCTAAAACCCTAGTTTTCAGTTCTACATTAGACAAGTACTTTTCATGTGATCAGTTATCATATTTGGTTTTCTTTATGTGCTTCTATCTAGTCGTTTCAGTTTTGAACTTAATGAACGTTTTATTTTTAATTCTTGTTAGTCTGATCACCTATCTTGGGTTTTATCATTCCAGTTACTTAGTTAATAGAATCTGTAATTGTTCTTGTCAACTGGTAATAAGTTATCAGATTGGTTCCGTGTTTGGGATTTAACTTTGATATAAACGGTAATTTCATATCTTTACGCTTCCGAACTTGTGAGAAGTATTGGGTATTACTGGGAATTTTACACAGATATTAATGCAACTTTTATGATCTTAATTAAGAGCTTATTTAATTGGACAGTAAAAAGTTAGGGTTAACTGAAGTGCTTGTTTTGGTTAATTTAACTAGGTAAAAGAGATTATACTAATGCTTTTTAGCTTTTCTCAGTACCAACTTAGATAGAACGCATTCTGAGTAACCAGATTTTGGCTGATTGCATGATTAGGAAAGTCACAGTGTAATTGAAATCGTTTTTATTAATGAATTTTATTTAGTTTATTTTCATTGCAATTTTAGTTTTATTTAATAATCAAAAACCCTTTTTTATTATTTTTTGTTTTGACAAGAATGTGCCTTTCGCAAAAAAGCAAGTGACTTTTAGGCTGTGTTCCTGAGGATTCAACCCTGCTTCACTATGCTATATTTTTAGTGCTACCAGCAGTGAAATTTTATTTGTTTAAATCATGCGCGACAACAGTTTAACACTTGGCAAGTTTAGTCCCTGTGAACTTTGACCACCCTCAACTTTGAACTTTTTAAAATGTTTAACCTCCATAGTTTATATAATATGATTTTCCTATAGTTATCATCCCTCAACTCTGTCAAATGTCACTTTGACCACCCTCAACTTTGAACTTTTTAAAATGTCACTTTCATCCCCTTGATTTTTTCTAAACTTTCGTGTTTACACAATCCACCAACAGTTTTATCATTGATATCGATCTTCTATATTTATCTATCAATAAATTCAACGATACCTAAGTTTTATAAATACAATCGTCAAAATTCAATTTACAAAAACGTATTGGTGTCGCCACAACACGTAGTGGGCAAAATACTAGTTCTAATATAATTATAAACATTCTTAATACACTAATAAATCATTAAAAAAATATATATTGAAAATAAAAATAATATACATATAAATATGAAGTTATCTTTGGATTTTATTTTAATAATCAAACCCAATCTGAAATAATAATTCGATTGTGGTTCAAATAAATCCAAATACCTACTCTCTAAGTAATACAATACAATCCAAAAATTAGATCATTTTATTTTATTACAATAGTGATTGATCCTAGCTATTTCTTTTTTTTGTGTTAAGTCTTTGATAAAAGAGAACGAACATTTGTATAGATACAATGTTGGTAATATATAATGTTTCTTTTTTAAAATAAATACAATGTCTGAATTTAAGTAGATGACTATTTTAGCTTATTTTTAAATTTTAACAAATAACAAATGGTTGTTTATTTAAAAACCATTACAAATTAAAACAATATATTTTCATATTAATTCTTTAAATTTTTTAAAAGAATAACATAATTAGTAACTTATATTTAATATAATTTTCAAATAAGTTCAAATAATAAAATTAAATTCAAACAATTAATAGTTACATATATAATAGAAAAACAAAAATAACAAGCACATGATATTCATACTATATTATATTTATACATATAATAGTTAATAACCTAACGTATAAACATTAAGATATATTCAATTACTTATAATTTTCGATATAAATATTTATGTAACTGAAGAAAAATATTGGCAACTTAAGAAACTAAATATAAAATCATTATTTAATATTTTAATATTAATACAGAACTCATTCGTACACAACAAGTTTTTATACACAACAATTTATGTTTTATAAAATTGTACAATACAACATTTTAAAACATAAATTATTACGTATAGAAAAAAAAATTATTGTGTAGCAATCATCTCACATATGTAATAGCATTTATTTCATAACTTCCCTTATTAAGACCTTTTATTAGTATAAAGTAAAAAAAAAATCAACGATTTATTGTGAAACCATTAATTTTTTTTTATGCATTAACTCCTGATTGATAGACTTGCCGGTTTACAAGTACACGACTTTAAAATCTAATTTCTGTTTAGATATGGTTAAATTTAACAGGATGAGTTTATTCATATTAATCCATATGTGAATGGGTGTAGGGGTGGCAATTTATGACACGACACGATAAAAATACGCGAAACGAAACGAAATTGAGACGAAACTGAAATTTGAATTCGTGTTCGTGTTGTGTTCGTGTTAACAGTAAAAAACACGATGTCGTGTTGTGTCGTGTTCGTGTTCAAAATTTGACACGAAATTGACACGATTTAGTAGTTATTTATCGTGTTTTTCGTGTTTGTCGTGTTTTCATGTTATATTTGATAAATTATTCATTAAATAAACTAGTTTTTAGTAAATGTTATATTTGTCGTGTCGTGTCGTGTTTGTCGTTTTGTAATTCGTTCGTTTTCGTGTTAGTTAGAAAAAACACGACATCGTGTCGTGTCGTGTTCGTGTTACATAAAACATTGTCATGTCGTGTTAGATAGAAACACGAAACGATAGCACGATTTGCCACCCTAAATGAGTGAATGCGTGTTTGAATTTTTGTACGAATAAAGGATACATGTAACAACACCATCACAAATATTCATTTCAGCTCAAAAGTCAGAAAATATTGACATGATATGTTTCTTATAACGTTTATGAATTAAAAAATGTTGAAAACATGAAACGACCTATGTCCCAATTATTTCTTACACATGTTTAGCCTAAAATCACCTGTGCGTGGCATCTCTAAAAAAAGTCAAACTGTTCATAATAGATCCATAAAATCAACAGCTGTTATACTCGAATTCGAATGTGTCGACGAATCATCAAAATATAATATTTAAAAATATCTGTAATCAGAATTGAAGAATTGTTGACAGAAATGGTTGACAGCTTGATTTGATCAAATAAGTATAATTGAAATCAGTTATCTACAATCCAGTCACAGATGAACAACAACAACAACACAGATCCTTGTACAAATTTCTAGTCAATTTAACACAAATTACTCCGATTACGATCAAAATCATCGATATAATCATACCCATATGTTAAATCCCCTCCACATTCATTTAAAATCTCAATAGCAAGCTCTAATTGATCATTCAGATACCTATCTAACAAACTAAAATCCGATTTTACCTGGCTTCCGCCTTCTACATCGTTCTCACGCCGCCGTAACGGCGGCAGCGATGGCGGCAGTGGACTTTGAGGAGGAGCCGGTTTCGACCGACGACGGCGGCGGCAGAGACGGACGAAGACCTCAGCGGCGCAAAGGAAGGGAAACATAGCGCAAATGAAAGGGATAAGTAAAGGAGAACAGAGAAGGAGAATCAGGTAACGTAACCTGTGACCACTGAGCCACGATTGCAGAATTAAAGCCATCGCCGCCGTCGGATTGTGTACCTCGTCGCCGGCGGCGGCTGTATCATAATCGTTATCCTTGATGATCACCAAGGGTTTCCGACGATCGTTTTCGGACTTTACTTGGGGTTTACTTGACCCGAAAAACAAGAAACAATTGCGCATGATCCGATTAGACGACCGATTTGGGGGTTGCTTCAAGCATTGTGAAATTGATTACAGAGAGAAGTTATTGAGAGTGTGTGAGACACCCTTTTATTTCAAGGGCTCGAAAGGGTAAATTGGGATACAGACACAACGTACAACAGCCAATGAGTAAGTTACAATTCATAATGCAAGTTTTATGGACTTGTAGGAATTAGGTTAGTTCGTTTCATAATTCCATAATATTAAAATGTAACAAATGGACAAAAAAAATTATTTATTATGAAATAGAATTGTTATGAAAAGTGTGATAACAACATATTTATTTTCATTTAAGTTCTTTATTCTAATAACACATGGCATTAACTAATTTCATGAATTATGTATATTTGAAAGGTAGAAGATAAAGTGAGAAAAAAAAATATTTTGATTTGTTTCATTTAAATAATATTCAAAAGGTATATTTTCTTCAGTCACGATATCATCATTTTAATTTATTACAACAATGGCAAACTATTTATAAAATATTTTAATTAAAAGATAATAAATTAAAACGTTCGTCCTTAAATATTTGTAAAAATAAAGTTTTTTTTTTAAATTAATACACTTTATTATAGTTTAATATTGATATAATATGCTGACTTTTAACTAAAAGGTTAAATAACACATGACCCACTAAAATCTCTTAGCTAAAATATTTTACAAATGCTTTCGTCTCGTTGTATTCAACTAAAATTATTTAATTTTAAATTCAATGATGATTCTCAGTAACCTAAAATATTCGTTTCTAGTGAAATAACTTGAAAATTGTGAACTTGGCCCATATGTTTTGCCATTTTTTTTGTTACAACGGTATTTTTTTTTTTTTGAACAACTGAAAGTCTCATATATTAACATTAACAGAATTAGCAAATCGCTAGAAAATAAACAATTACAAAGGGTTAAAAAGCCAAACAATTTAAAAAACATCGAATTTGGAAGCTCGGGAATTTAACCAAGAAAAAGACTCTACAACAATACTATCAAACAAAGTACTTCTCCTAATCTGAGTCTCATCAAACATTCCCGAATTTCGGAATCTCCAAATTATCCAACACGTACATACGACTATTACTAGCAAAGATACCTTTTCTTTGGAGAGATTACTTGGTCATCTACCCAAGAAAGCCATTCTTTTTTTAGAACAACAGATTCATTAAGGAAAAACTAGCAAGGTGCTACAAATAAAAGTCAATTTACATGGAAGTAATACACAAAATTGGATCCTATAATTAGGCAACCCAATTGACATTTGTTTTATGACACCTATTACTAGCCCAAATGAAACTCTGAGACATCACCTTATCAAACAACAAACATTTTCTAGGTTTAACTTTACCAAAGAGTAAAGTGTTTCTAAAACACCAAATCGACAATCAAAGAATAAAGAAAACCGCCTCCAAAAAATCTTGACAAATAGAAGATAAATGCAAAGTGTCAAACCAGTCAAACCAATCTTGGAATGAAAACAAAGTAGGCGTCTGAACATTCCACCATTGCAAACAAGTTTTACTAAATCTTTAGCCAAATCACACTCAAAGAACAAGTGGGTAGTAGTCTCAACTTCTCTCTCGCATATGGGGCATACAATACAATTTATCTTAATTCCTCTTTGATATAAATTATACTGAGAAGGTAATTTGTTTAAAAAAAGACGCCAAACGATGACAATGAATTTAATAGGCGTAAGGCGACACCATCTAGTCACTGTCTCCGAGACAATATGAAGCTTCTTATCAATTTCCAACCTTGTAGATCTCATAGAAAAATAACCAGAACCATCAAGCGACCAACTCCACCTATCCGTAGACGAAAAAAGTAAAACCGAGGAAATCGAACCTGAAAAATTAGACCACTGCTCAGCCTCACCCCCCCCCCCCCTCTTGGTTTTCGCCTGAAAGAGGTATCCCAAATCGATTGAATCATCTTCGTAGCAACATAGATTTGTTTTTCCATCTCAAGGGCATATAACCTATGGTAAGAGTTTTCTAAAGGGTCATTACCAATCCATTGATCCTCCTAGAAAGCTGTGAGTTTGCCATCGCCAATCACCCTTTTGCAGAAAGACATAAGATCTACACCTTTAGAGCATAAGGAATGAAAAGTCTTAATAATTGAAACCCAATTGGAGTTACCAATATTTCTTAAAGAAGAATTGCCGATTAACCCCTTTTCTCCATGAATAGCTTTGACCACTATCACCCAGAGCGCATTTGGGAACAACATAAATCGCTAAATCCATTTAAAGAAAAGAGCCCGGTTAAGAGCATAAAGACTATTGACATCGAGACCACCATATTACGTGGGAGCTAACACCTTCTTCCATTTAACCCACGTCATCTTGTGCTCTTCCATATCCGCCCATAATAAAAAAAGCATTACGAAAGGATTTTAAACGATTGGCAACAAACTTCGGGGATTTAAAAGTAGACATAAAATATGTCGGGTTAGCACCCAAAACAGGCTTGAGTAGACCAAGTCTTACCCCAACCAAAAGGTTTTTGGCTTTCCACTGTGAAAGTTTAGAGGTGACTTTCCGGATCACACCATCCCAAGAAGCAACACGAGACATGTTGCCAACCACAATGAGACCTAAATATGTAAAAGAAGCTTTTCTAGGAACATACCCAATAGAAGCCGCCACATCCTCCACAACCGATAATTGAGCTCTAAAACCCATCAGATTACTCTTATACACATTAATCTTGAGGCCAAAATCAAGAAAAAAACAGTGAAGGAGTCTGACAACATGTGACACATTGGTTCGGGATCACTGTCCAATAAATATAGCATCATTGGCATAGAATAAGTGAGAAAGGGTAACTTGGGTCGAATTGTCAATATGAAGACAAGAGAACATGCCAACATCAATAGTTCTATGAAAAGAAATATGGAGAGAGTCCATGAAAAGAATGAACAAAAAAGGAGAGAGAGGATCTCCTTGACGCATACCACGGTGAAATCGAAACTCATCAGAAGGAGCTCCATTCACTAAGATAGATCCCATAGAAGAAAATAAACATCCTCGAATCCAGCTTTTCCACTTAGAACCAGAACCAAATTTAGACAAAAGATCATCAAGGAAATCCCAACAAATCGAATCAAAAGCTTTTTGAAAATCAACCTTGAAGACCATAGCCTGATGATTATGAGCCTTACACCAAGAGTGCACTTCATTAAGAATCATAGGACCATCTAAAAACTGTCTGCCTTTGCTAAAAGTAGACTGTTCAGGGCTTACAATATAATCAATAACCTTGGCAATTCTATTAGCTAATATTTTAGCAATAACTTTATATTGGTAACCGATTAAGGTAATAGAACGAAAATCTCTAACTAGCTTCGCATCATGCACCTTTGGGACCAAGGTGGTAAATGAAGGATTACACCCTTTAGGGAAAGTTCTTGAATTGAAGACTTCATGCACAACGTGAACTACATCTACTTCAACAAGGTACCAACATTTTTTTGAAGAATTCAAAAGTAAAGCCATCAGGTCCGGGAGCTTTATTAGAACCACAATCCCAAACTGCTCTCTATATCTCTTCCGGAGTAACTACTGCATCCAGTAAACTAACTTGATCAGGAAGCAAAACCCAAGGAAAATCATCATGTATAACGGGTCGAGACCAAGATGGTCTATCAAACCAGTCTCAAAATTGGGAGAGAAACTCCTTCTTTACTTTGAGAGAATTATCAATCCATACTCCAGCCAACATAATACCCAGAATACCTTGTGTTAATGTTACCATGAACGGCCACGTTAAATGTAAAGTAAAGTATAAATGAGACGTTATCTCGCCAGAACCTTGGCCAAGGCCCGGTCTTGGCCTAAGTAATCCAGCACCTGGGTGGCAGTTCGTTTCCCTTCACGAGGAAAGAATATTCCCCGTGATCTTCTCATTCACTCACGACCAATCAGGACGTGACAAAAAGCTTAGGTGATGCCCATAACTGACGTCACCAGGCAGTTAGTTAACGTGGGCATAATTCTCCCAGTCAGAGGAGGCCACGTCTCACACTTATTGGGCAAGGTCCCCACGATCCGTTAGTAGCAGGTATAAAAGGATCTATTCCGTCTCAAGGAAGGGATCCATCTTCTCCCTCACTAATTTTACCCTAAATTCTCTCTCTTAGAAAACTAACTTGATCGTCAGAGTGACGTCCCGGGAGTACACCCGGTCGTCCTTTAATGATTCTTCTGTGTTGTGTTCTCAGGAAAACTTAGAGGTTCGATCCATAAATCAATATCCAATCCCCTGAAGATCATGTCACAACATTTGGCGCCATCCGGACGTATCCTCAGAGTGATACAACCAATAAACGACACTCGCTCTCAACAAACGGGCGATCTAAGCCCAACAGCATCTACGACTGCAGTAGACGACCTGTTTCGAACACCGGTGACAGTAACCAACAACCATCACTACGAGTATAGAACACATGCCCCAACCCAGGTGCTAATGGCACAGATCCTGCCGATTACGGAGCCAGTACTCCAGAGCAGTTTCTGGCAACTGTCGTGTGACAACCCGAAATTTCTATCTTGTACAAACCATTCACTTCAATCAAAGTCAGACTTGTTTCTGCTAACTTTTAGCACTGTTTAGAGTCTGTTTGTGCATTCTGAGCCTAGTGCACCAAAGGAATGAGTGAAAGGAAGTGCCAATTGAAGTTGTAACCTACCAAACAAGCCATAAACCCTCAAATGAGGAGTTTACGGCCCGGGACCATGAGTTTACGGACATAAACTCATGGTGGCCGTAAACTCCATACTATATATATGGTCCTTAGTCATTTTCAATCACTTTTCACATTTCAAGCCTAGAAATCGGATTTTCTCTCAAGTATCTTAAGAACTTTCATCGAAATCTTCAATCTAGTAAGTAATCTTTCCAATTTCAACTTGATATCCTTCCATATCTAGTGAATATACATGATTTCATCCATGAAATCTCTTCTTTTGGTTAGATCATCAAGTG